AGGCGTAGTAGGGTCAGGTGGATCAAGGGGATGGGGGGAGGTTGGACAGGACTTCCACCAGCAGTGGGAGGCAAAGGTTGCAGGCCGGAAGCACAGCTATCAGAGAACCAGCGGTTCTGCATTGGTAACCGTGTCATTTTGCAAGATAAACAGATATTGAATCATACAATAATTAAATAGTTTTTTATAAATCAAATATACAATAATTAAATAGTTTATAAGTTATGATATCTTATTTTTTTATTTTATAAATCTTAAAATAATATCATCTATTTTCTAAGTTCTATCATTGATATGTTTAAATTATACAATAATAATATATTTTACTTGATATTAGTTCATATTGATACAATAATATGAAATTAGTTAAATTATAGTTAAAAAAAATTTTATTTGTGAGATACTCTATGGATTTCTGCGGCTGAAGAGGAAGAATAAAGATAAATTTTTTAGATTAAAAAAAAAATTAAAAATATTAATTTTATATTGGTTAGAGATTCTGTGAGTCTTTCACACTATTGGAGATACTCTTATGTTTGCGGTCAAGTTATTACATCGTGGACATATTACGGTAGGGGTTAGAGTGCAACTTTTCTCCACCTATGATAGATTGATTACGTTCAAATTGTCGAATGCATGTGGTGCCTATTTTTCTCTAATGTATATCGAAAAACGAATCAATTTTTATGCTCGTACAGTTGATTGATCAAATGTTGGCAACGTAGCAAATTTTTTATTTATAAACCGTGATGGTTTTGAACCTTTTTTCTCATAATTTCTTTGTTATCCGGAGTCAGTTTTTATATATTCCGATTTAAAAAATAATTACATATTCCGATTTAAAGAATAACCTTTTATACCAAATGAAATTTGAATCTCAGAAACAAAAAAACCAGCTCCCTTGTATGAATAATAGACCATTCCTAACATTGGGCCCGATTGGTCATGGCTGTAGCTTTAATTTTGTTGCTGTATAATTTAGGTTGTAGGTTTTTTGGCTGTAGCTGTAGAATTTAGGTTGTGACTTTTTAAAATGAAAGTCTGATTGGTAAATCACTACAAGAAAACAGGCGGATTTCCGATGGAAATTCCGACAGTCAAGTTTTCCGTCGGAAATTTCCGTCGGTTTAACGACGGAATTACGACCAAACGCAAACCGTCAGAAATCTGTCGGTTATTTTCGACAGAATACCAACGGATTTCCGACAAATATAAATCGTCGGTATATTCTGACGACTTTCCGACGGATTTCCGATGGAAATCGGATATTTCCGATGTCGGCAAAGTTTGATTGGTCAGCGCATACCGACGGAACATATTCCGTCGGAATTCRGTCAGAAATTTGATYTCGYCAAATTTTGAGTGGTTACCATTTCGTTAGCGGTGGCCGATGGGATTGGTGGGGTGTTATGTCGGAGTGTTGTGACAGAATTCCGACGGATTTCCGACGGAAATCCGTTCTATATAACCTGCGACATTTCTGATCTTGGTTCATAACACAATTCACAACACAACTGTAAAAAACCAAAAAAATTGTTCGCGATGGGTTCATATTTTTGGTCTTGGATGGACGAGCCAATGATGGATGAGGGCTCGAACTTATTAACGTCCGCATACGCTGCAGGTATATGCGAGTTCATGAATTTACCCAGAAATCAAGATGCAGCAAAAAAAGGTCAGGATATCAAATGTCCATGTTCTAATTGCTGTAATAGAATTAGTGTTAAGGTGCATAGTGTTTGGAATCACTTATATAGATATGGATTTACGCCGGGATATAAGGTTTGGTTTTTACACGGAGAAAGCAATTACGAATATG